GTGGTCGTCGTCGTCGTCGTTGTCCTAGCCGACGTCGCCGTCGTCGTGGTCGTCGTCGCCGCCATCGTCGTCGTCGTCGCAGTCGTCGTGGACGTCGTCGTCGTCGACGTCGTCGTCGTCGTCCTCGTCGTCGTCGCCGCCGTCACCGTCGTCGTCGTCGTCGCAGCCGTGGTCGTGGTCGTCCTAATCGCCGCCGTCGTTATCGTCGCCGCCGTCGTCGTCGCCCTCGCATCGCCACCACCACCACCGCAGTCGTGGTCGTCTTCGTCGTTGTCGTCGCCGTCGTCGCCATCGTCATGGTCGTCCTCGCCGCCGTCGACGCCGTCCTCGTCGTCGTCGTCGTCGCCTTCCGTCGTTGTCGTCGTGGTCGTCGTCGTCGTCACCGTCGTCGTGGTCGTCTTTGCAGCCGTCGTCGTCGTCGTCGTCGTCGACGTCGTCGTCGTCGTCGACGTCGTCGTCGTCGTTGTCGTCGCCAGCGCCGCCGCCACCGCCGCCGCCAGCGTCGTCGTCGCCGTCATCGTCGTCTTTGCCGTCGTCGTCGTGGTCGTCCTCGCCGCCGCCGTCGTCGTCGTCGTCGTCGTCATCGTCGTCGTCGTCGACGCCGCCACCGTCGCCGTCGCCGCCACCGCCGACGCCGTCGTCGTCGCCGTCGCCGTTGCCGTCGTTGTGGCCGCCGTCGTCGTCGTCGTCGTCGTCGCCGTCGTCGTCGCCTTCGTCGTCGCCGTCGTCGTCGTCGTCGTCGTCGTCGCCTTCGTCATCATTGTCGTCGTTGCCGTCGTGGTGGCCCCCACCACCGCCGTCATCGCCGTCGTCGTCGTCGTCGCCGTCATCGCCGCCGCCAGCGTGGTCGTTCTCGTCGTCGTCGTCGCCGCTGCCACCCGCCGACTCAGTCGTCGTCGTCGCAGTTATGATCGTGGTCGTCCTGGCCGCCACCGCCGCCGTCGCCGGCGCCGTCGTCTTCATCGTCGCCGTCGCCGCCGCCGCCGTCGTGGTCATCATCGTCGTCATCTTTGTCGTTGCCGTCGTCGCAGTCGTCGTGGAAGTCCTCGCCGCCGTCGTCGTCGTCGTCGTCGTCGCCGTCGTCGTCGACGTCGTCGTCGTCGAGGTCGTCCTCGCTGCCGTCGTCGTCGTCGTCGTCGTCGTCGTCGTCGTCGTCGTCGTCGTCGTCGTCGCTGTCGTCGTCGACGTCGTCGTTGTCGTCATCCTCGTCGTCGTCGTCGTCACCGCCGCCGCCGCAGCCGTCGTGGTCGCCGTCGTCGTTGTCGTCGCCGCCGCCGGCCGTGATCGTTCTCGCCGCCGCCCTCGTCGTCGTCGTCATCGCCATCGCCGCCATCGTCGCCGCCGCCGTCGTCGCCATCGTTGTGGTCGTATTCACCGTCGTCGCCGCCGTCGTCGTCGTCGCCGTGGTCGTCGTCGCCGCCGCCGCCGCCGTCGTGGTCGTCGTCGTGGTTGTCGTAGCCGTCAACGCCGTCGTCGTGGTCGTCACCGTCGTCGTCGTCGTCGTCGTCGTCGTCGTCGTCGTCGTCGTCGTCGGGGTCGTCGTCGTCGTCGTCGTCGTCGCCGTCGCCGCCGTCGTCGTGGTCGTCGTCGTCGGTGTCGTCGCCGTCGTCGTGGTCGTCCTTGCCGTTGTCGTCGTCGCCATCGTCGTCGACGTCGTCGTCGTCGTGGTCGTCCTCGTCGCCGTCATCGTCGTTCTCGTCGTCATCGCTGTCGTCGTCAGCGTCGTCGTCGTCGCCCTCCTGGTCGCCGTCGCCGCCACCGCCGACGCCGTCGTCGTCGCCGTCGTCGTCATCGTCGTAGCCGTGATCGCCGCCGCCGTCTCCGCCGTCGTGGTCGTCGTCGTCGCCACCGCCGCCGCCGTTGTCATCGCCGTGGTCGTCGTGATCGTCGTGATCGTCGTGATCGTCGTGATCGCCGTGGTTGTCACCGCCGCCATCGTCGTCGTGGTCGTCGTGATTGTCGTCGTCGCCGTCGTCGCCATCGTCGTAGCCGTCGTCGCCGCCGCCGCCTCCGCCGTCGTGGTCGCCGTCGTCGCCACCGCCGCCGCCGTTGTCATCGCCGCCGCCTCCGTCGTCGTGGTCGACGTCGTCGCCACCGCCGCCGCCGTTGTCATCGCCGCCGCCTCCGTCGTCGTGGTCGTCGTCGTCGTCGCCGTCGCCGCCGTTGTCGTCTCCGCCGCCTCCGTCGTCGTCGTCGCCGTCGCCGCCGTTGTCATTGCCGCCGCCTCCGTCGTCGTCGTCGTCGTCGTCATCGTAGTCGCCGCCGCCACCGCCATCACCACAGCCGCCACCGCCACCGTCGTCGTCGACGTCGTCGTCGTCGTGGCCGTCCTCGCCGCCGCCGCCGCCAGCGTCGTCGTCGTCGTCGCCGCTGCCGCCGCCGCCGCCGCCACCGCCACCGCCGCGCCGTTCGTCGTCGTCGCCGAGGGCGCCGCCGCCGTCGTTGTCGTCGGCGACGTCGTCGTCGCCGTCGTTGTCGTCATCGTCCTCGCCGTCGTCGTGGTCGTCCTTGCCGCCACCGGCACAAATGTCGTAGTCGTCGTCGTCGTCGTCGTCGTCGTCGTCGTCTTCGTCGACGCTGCCACAGCTTCTGCCGTCGTGTTCCTCGTCGTCGTGGTCGTCCTCGTCAACGCCGCCTCCGCCATTGCCCTCACCGTCATCGTCGTCGTGCTCGTCCTCGCCGCCGTCGTCGTCGCCGTCGTCGTCGTTATCGTGTTCGCCGCCGTCGTCGTCGTTGTCGTTGTTGTCGTCGCCAACGCCGTGACGTCGTTTTCGACGTCGTTGTCGTCGTTGTCGTCGTTGTCGTGATCGGCGTCGTCGTCGCCGCCACCGTCACCACCGCCGCCGCCGTCGTCGTCGATGTCGCCGTCGTCACGGCGCCGTCATCGTCGTCGTCGCCGCCGCCGCCCCTGCCGGCGCCGCCGGCGCCGCCGCGGCCGTGGTCGTCGTCGTCGCCGCCGCCCCCGCCACCGCCGCCGTGGTCGTCGTCTTCGTCGTCGTCGTCGTGGTTGTCGTCGCCTCCGCCGTCGCCGCCACCGCCACCGCCGTCGTCGTCGCCGTCGTCGCCGTCGACGTCGCCGTCGTCGTGGTCGCCTTCGCCGCCGCCGTCTTCGTCGTCGTCGTCGTCGTCGTCACCGTCGTCCTCCTCCTCCTCTTTCTCGTCCTTGTCGTCGCGTCGTCGTCATCGCAGCCGCCGCCGCCGCCGTCGTGGTCGTCATCGTCGTCGTCGTCGTCGCCGCCGCCGCCACCCTCGCCGCCGCCGTCGTCGCCGTCGTCGTCGTCGTCGCCGCCGTCGTCGTCGCCATCGTCGTCGCCATCGTCGTCGCCGTCGTCGTCGTCTTCCCGTCGTGGTCGTCGCCATCGTTGTCCTCGTCCTCGTCCGCGTCGTCGTCGTCGTCGTCGTTGTCGTTTTCGTTGTCGTCGTCGTCGTCGTCCTCGTCGTCGTCCTCACCGCCAGCGCCGTCACCGCCGTCGCCTCCGCCGCCGCCGCCGCCGCCGCCGTGGCCGGCACCGCCGCCGCCGCCGTGGCCGTGGCTGCCATCGTCGGCGGCGGCTGCGGCGGACCGCGGCGGCGAACGGGCGCTCGACTCTGAGCGGGCCGACGCCTGCCGGCGCAGGATCGCCCCGTACCTCGCGGCCAGCCTGCCGAAGCACCACGCAGCCCGCGCCGCGCGCACTGCGCCCAGTGCCCGCGCCTCCGCCCGCCCCCGCTGCTCGGGCGTGCACAACGCGCAGCACGCAGCGGCCGAGGCGGCGGCGCCACCGGCGCCCACGGCTGGCTTCCCCAGCCGCCGCATCCCGCGGTGAGGCCCTGACCTGCCCAGCGCGCTCGAGACGTTGTAGCACTTGAGCCAAGGCGGCTCGAGCCAAGATGGCTTCGGGTGAGGGGGGGAGGACCCCGGCCCAGCGGCGGCGGCAGGAGGGAACACTCCGCAGGCTCTCGGTGGCGCGGGGGCCGGGGCACCCGGGGGGGGAGGCGCTCCACAGCCTGCGCGGGCACGCCGCCGGGACAACCGCAGCCCATCAATGGATCTAGGCTCCAGGGGGCCCGCTCGCCGCCCACGCGCGCCCCGGCGGTGGGTGAAGTTCGGGGGGTGGCCCCCGCGGACGCCCCGAAGGCCGCCCTCTCTCGCGGGCGCGCAAGCATGGATCGGGGGAGGTGCCCTCCCCAAAATGCGACCAGTGCCGCCGCGTTCGGCGGCGGAAATCCGCGATTTCCCATGGAAACGGGACCCGTCGCTAATCCACGCCCCCTTGATCCATGTTTGCAATCGCCTGACTCGCGGCACCTCGAGGGCCTCGCCGCCAGCGAAGCGCTCCCCTTAGATCCGACGTTGCAAAAGTAAAAAATGCACCACCGCAAAAAGTCAGGACCGGACCCCCCGACCCGATCTTTCTGCGCCGGCTCTTCGAGCCGCATCGACCTGTGAGGGCCCCGGGGGCCCGACGCAGAGCGAGAACGCCCGGCTCGAAAAAGTGGAGCCGCCAGGATCTCGGGGACTCGCGGGACCTCGAGGGCCTCAACGCCAGCGCAGCGCTCTTGGCCCTCGAGAGCGTCCCAGCTATTGGAGAGGAGGAGGAGGTGGAGGAGGAGGAGGAGGAGGAGGAGAAGGACGACGAGGAGGAGGAGGAAGAGGAGGATGAGGAGCAGCAGGAGGAGGAGGAGAGGAGCAGGAGGAGGAGGAGGAGGAGGAGGAGGAGGAAGGGAGGAGGAGGAGGAGGGGGGGGGGAGGAGGGGGGGAGGAGAGGGCGGAGGAGATGGAGGAGGAGGAGGAGGAGGAGGAGGAGGAGGCGGAGGAGGAGGAGGAAGAGGAGGAGGAGGAGGAGGGGGCTCGCGGCAGCGCGCTCGCGCGAATGGGAATGGGAATGGGACACTCGTGCGGGCCGTCGCCCAGGCCCCTCAATGGCGGAGCCGGGTGAGGCCATGGCCCCTGGCAGACATGGCCGGCAGGCTGTTTACACCCTTGGTGAGAGTTAGAGACATATCTTCAAGCCACGAGA